AATAGCCTTACCATGACTCCTTGTAGCACTGTGGGGAGTCTCGTGCACGCTGGGAACATTAAACACAGGTCAGATTGCTTGGCCTACAATATAAAGCCAGGTGCGAAACACTATTTTCATAGCACTTTTCCCCTTACTTTCAGAAAAGCAAAAGGGCCATTAAAAGAATAGTTCACCCAAAAATTATAGGGTTATCTGAGATCAAATACGGCACAAGGCTGGATGTCAGTAACATCAAGAATCATTGGTTTCATGTCTTGCGATCTGACATTACGATGTGAAAAATATGATTTGAGCGCTGCATAATGAATTTCATTACTTAATCGATTTGAAAAATTACTCACAAAAAGTTATCATATGGATTCAGAAACAAGTGGTTTCCATTAAGTGAACTAAAAAAAAATAATAATTTTTAAAGTTTTAGTTTCTGGAAAATTGTACACTAACTTTCAAAAATGTGGCTCAGTAAAATTTTTTCCTTTTATTCATCAAGTCCAACAATGCATTAAATTGATCAAAAGTGACAGTAAAGACATGTATAATGTTACAAAGGATTTCTATTTCGAATAAATTCTGTCCTATTTATCAAAAAAAGAAGAAAAATAAACATGGTTTCCACAAAAATATTAAGCAGCACAACTTGATAACATTGATAATAATCAATGGAATAACTATGTATTTTTACTGTATTATGTATTTGTATTTTTACTGTATTTTTTGATAAACCAAATGTTGAGCATAAGAGACTTTTTTCGAAAATAATCTTACCAACCACAAAGTCTTGAATGTTTTGAACGGAAAATTAAAACATTTAACATAACATAAAAATCTAAATATAATAACCCTGGACTATATATATGGACTAGTTTCATGGTGCATTTACAACCCTTTTGAATCTTGACAGACTAGTCACTCTGTCACTGTATGACAAAACAGGGATTTGAATTATTCCAAATGTTTCATTGTGTGTTCCATGTAGGCATGGGCCGGTATGAGATTCTGACGGTATGATAACCTTAGATTAAAAAATTATCACGGTATTGCGATTACAGCTCTAAAATATGTTATTTTTAAATGTCTGGGTAAAAAAAAAATTTTTTTTTCCACTGAACACATTTTATTTTTAACAAACATATAGAACATTTTGGAACAGTAAACATGTCAGGCTAAATAATTAGAATAAATAATTAAATTCTTCTTAATTAAATGCAGTCACTTAAGTGAGCCTAAACCTGCAGCTCAACAATAATCAAAACAAAAAAATTTTATTTTCTGTAAAAAAAAAAAATAAATCCCTATAAATTAAAGAAAAAAAGGAGTCACACTTAAGTGAGCCTAAACCTGCAGCTCAATAATCAAAAATATAATCAAAACAAAATTTCTGTAAAAACAAAAATAAAATTTTTTATAAAAAATGCAGTCATTAAACCTGCAGCTCAACAAGGTTTTTTGATCTTTCAGTCCAAGTTATGATGTAGGAATGTTCACCTTTCCCGGATTAAGTTTGAAGCGGTGAGGTACGAGGATGTGTGCACATACACACATAAGGAAAGAGAGAGCGCGAGTTTCACACACATACGGTCTCTCCGTACAACAGTTTGTTTTTTAAATGTTGTGATTTTGAACAGATGTAAACAATGGCAGGAGGCTTAAAAGTATAGACGTGATACCAGCTAAATGTAATTATTGTACTAAATCGCAGACAAGTACAGTATATACTTTAGACTGCTATCCCTCACTCTGTGAAGTAACGTGAGGGAGGAAACTAGTTGACGTTAGCTAGTTAATTAGCCATGTTATCTGCCTCGGAAGCAAGTCAAATAGTATTTCAACACTGAAACAAACGGCGGGTGGGTCTCTGTCTTGATCGGGGGTGAAAGAGGGAGAAATGAAGATGACACAGATATATAGTTTATGTTTGACCTGGAAGTATTTATTTAGCGATCGGAGGTAAAACGTCATCTGTATGGAACACCGTTGTGTACGGAACATGGTTAGTCTACGTTACCCGAAAAATTCCCATACGACAGACTTCGTCTTTTTCGACGGGGGAAAAAGTTCCAGGAATTCATCTCCTTCGGCCATCCCACACACAGGTGACTCTCACTGACTGCTCGCACCAACCGGAAGGGCTGAGGGGGAAGGGTCGTGTGACTCGTTATGCTCTTCGCTGCACACAACTGAGGGAGTCCTGCACTTTCTGTCTTTGACGACACGTAAAAAAACTGTGCATACCGCAGGAACGGTATAACGGGAAATTTTAGTGGTTTTGAAACCGTGACTTTTCCAAACCGCGGTATACCCTGAAACCGGTTATCGTCCCATGCCTAGTTCCATGTAATGAACAACATAACAGTTTGAAATGACATGAGGGTAAATAAGTACGTTTTAGATGAAACCTCCCTTTAGAAGGGTTTGCTCAGGGATGTGACATTTTTCATTAAACATGAACCAAGGCGAGGACAAATCAGATGACAGTTCACGACAGCTCCAAAGGAAAATCTCTAAAATGTATCACCAGAGATAAACAGGTCCCCACGTTCCGCTCTCATCACAACAGAGCCCAGATGGAGTCCTCACATCAAAGAAATCTGCCAAATGTATGCCTTGAGCACACCTGACATCTCGCCCGAGGCTCTCTGATAAAACCATCTTTAAACATGAATGAATCACACATAACCGTCCTACAAAGGCCCTGTTAGGAAATCATGTTTTCAACCCTCCTATCAATTATTCACCCAGCAGACGCACAAGACAAGGGAAAAGGGTGAAAATGACAAGTTCCTTCCTAAAAAGTTCTCTTGACAAAAAACCAAAGCGCCGCATCCTTGCATCAAAGCTGCCAAACTGAGAATCCATCTGCTCTTTTGGCCAGAGATGGTGTACATCCAATGGATCCGTTTTTCATAAATTGGACTTTATAGTGCTTTAAAGGGTTAGTTCACCCAAAAATGAAAATTAGCCCATAAATTACTTACCCTCAAGTCATCCTAGGTGTATATGACTTTCTTCTTTCAGACGAATCCATTCGGAGTTATATAAAAAAATTGTCTTTGATCTTTCAAGCTGTTTAATGGCACTCAGCGGGTGTTGCATGCTTCAGTCCAAAACAAGTTAAATAAAAAGCGCCCATCCATAAAAATAAAAAAATGTCTCATACGGATCCGGGGGGTGAACAAAG